CCAAAAAAAAAAAAGATTAAGGAACATAAACAAATTAGCAGAGATAATTCAGTGATTGGCACAGCTTCAGTTTCCAGAGAACAGTAGCTACTAGAATATACTGATCTTTATGGCTGATTATTCTGAATTTTCACTAGTATGAAAGTGCTTTAATGACTATTGTGGTATATTTTATTTACTTGTACAGAGCATGATGGTTCTTTTCAATTTTGATAGGTTGTCCTACAAAACTGTTTGATTAATACTCTATCAATGCTATATTAGAATGTCCATTAATTATTACCATAGTTAATACTGCATTTCCAGTCTTACCAATCTGGTATACACAAAAGTTATCTCACTGTTATTTTAATTGCATTTCCTTATTTGTCATTTGGTTAAATTTCTTTTACTTTGTTTAACATTGGCCATTTGTTTTTCTTCTGAGAGTAGCTTATCATAAGCATCTCTTGTTTTTACTGACAGATTTTCCCCTTTGATTTTTATTAAAAAATTAAAGGTTGTCTTGTTTCAGTTAGTCAAGTCAACATCATGAAACTGGGTATCACTTCCATTTCACAGGTGAGAAGGAGAGACTATGCGAGCGTCACTTGCCTCAGGTTAAACAGGGAGCATGGCAAGATGGAAAACCAGTGTGTTATTCTCACATATAGAAACTCTTCCTCTCAGTAGCTTATTTTAAAACACTTTTTTTTTTTTTTGGTGGTAGTGGGGCACTGAGCTTGGGACCTCATATTCTCATTTGGCTTTTCCATTCAAGGCTGTGGTTTACTACTTGAGTCACAGCTCCATTTCCAACACTTTTCTTTTAAAAAATATTTTATTGGGGGGTGGGAAGGTGGCTCAGTGGTAGAGTGCTTGCCTTGCATGCATGAGACCCTAGATTTGATTCCTTAGCACCACATAAGCAGAAAAGGCCGGAAGTGGTGCTGTAGCTCAAGTGGTAGAGCACTAGCCTTCAGCTGAAGAGCTAAAGGACAGCACCCAGGCTCAGAGCTCAAGCCCCATGACTGACCAAAAATAAATAAATTAAATTTAATATATATATATATATATAACATTTTTATTATCTTTAAGTAGCTGTAAAAAGGAATTACCATTCAATTCAGTGCATCTTGAACAATATCACCTCACTCATCCCTCCCAACCCTTCCCTCACTTTTCTTAATTTTGTAGGATATACATTGAATTTTCTTTCTTTCTTTCTTTTTTTTTTTGTTGGCTATGGGGCTTGAATTCTGGATCTGGGTGCTGTCCCTGGGCTCTTCAGCTCAAGGAGAGTGCTCTACCACTTGAGCCCCAGCACTACTTCTGGTTTTCTGGAGATAAGAGTCTCATCGACTTTCCTGCCCAGGCTGGCTTTGAACTGTGGTCCTCAGATCTCAGCCTCCTGAGTAGCTAAGGATTATAGGCATGAGCCACTGGTGCTGGTTATCCATTGAATTTTTCTTTTTCTTTTATCTTTTTTTTTTTTTGGGGGGGGGTCTGTTCGTGGGGCCTGAACTCTGGGCCTGGGCGCTGTCCCTCAGCTCTTCAGCTCAAGACTAGCGCTCTACCACTTGAGCCACAGCGGCACTTCCAGCTTTTTTCTTTTTGCTTATGTGGGGCTGAGGAATCGAACCCAGGGCCTCATGCATGCAAGGCAAGCGCTCTACCACTGAGCCACCTTCCTAGTCCTATGCATTGAATTTTTTTTTTACTGCACTTTTATTTTCTGACTAGCCATTTGGTCCTAATGAAATCTTTATTACTTTGGGAAACTCTCTCGGGATTTAAATTAAAAAAGGGGTTTAAATTTAAATCTCTTAAGATTTAGATAAAATATAAAACCAAGGACATAGTTTTCTCCTTTTTTGGTTAGGTTTCACACTACTTTGCTAGTATTATATTTATACTGGACATTTCAAAATGTCTTCATTACTTGGACTGAGCAATTTGATGTTAAGTCTGAGAGTCATGGATAGGCAACTACCTTGTATGGAAGACTATAATAAGTATTACTAGTATCTTCAAATACCACTTGAAGCTGGGTGGGATGGCATGTTGCTATTTCAGCTACAGAGGCAAAGGCAGGAGGACAATCATGAGTTTAAAGACAATCTGGGCAACTTAGGAAGACTCAGCTTCAAACAACTACAACCACTGTTTTTAGTGAGGAAAAGTCATAGAAGAAAATTATAGGCACTCGGGCTGGGAAGGTGGCTCAGTGGTAGAGCACTTGCCTTGCATGCCTGAGACCCTGGGTTTGATTCCTCAGCACCACATAAGCAAAAAGAAAAAACCTGGAAGTGGTGCTGTGGCTCAAGTGGTAGAGCGCTAGCCTTGAGCTGAAGAGCTGAGGGACAGCGCCCAGGCCCAGAGTTTAGGTCCCACGACCGGACCCAAAAAAGAAAAAAAAAAGAAAAAAAGAAAATTATAGGCACTAGAAACACATGCAGAATAGGGGCTGGGGACATAGCTCAATGGAACAATACAGGCTTAACATGAGGTTCTAAATTTAATCCCTAGCATGGCAAAAAAGAAAAATGGAAAAGAAAAAAAAAGAGAAATGGGGCAAGATTTAAAATAGCAAAATATGTAGGTATTCAAGAGTTAGTGCAGGTAAAGAAACTGGGCAAGGTGGGAGGAACATATACCTGAAGAATTTATGAATGTGGACTAGGCACAACCTTTTCAGGCAGCCCAGGTCATAACAGTGATGATGACAGTAACAGATATTTAATGATTTACAGTGTGCCACATATGCATAAAGATGACAGACAGGCAAGCCAGGAGTTCTTATCTCTTTTCAGGCACCATACTATGATTAAAACAGATATGCTACTGAATAAATGACACATTCACTAATAACGTCTGTTAGTACATAGTTGTAAGCATTCATTCTCAAATGGGACACACAGACTCACACCACTTCCTATGTGCCAGAAGCTGTTGGTTCTAAGGTGTTTTGGCCATCCTCTATGTTACAGAAAAAGTGCAAAGACCTGAAAATTAGCAGTGTTCATGGAAGTGGCGCTGTAGCTCAAGTGGTAGAGCATTCGCCTTGAGCAAAACAGCTCAGGGACAGCAGCACCCAGGCCCAGAGTTCAAGGCCCCAAAAAACAAAAACAGAACAAAAAACAAAACAAAAAAACAAAAAAGCAGTGTTTATGTAAGCCCTGTCTAGCATAATGGGGGTAGAACCCATCAACCAAAACTCTCTAGTCCTAAAAGGTACTTTGAGCAGGTAATCCCAATTATGAAATTCAGACAATCAAATACACCTGTTCTGATTTCCAGGCAGTCAGGTCAACTTCTAATTACAACTTGGCTTTGGAGGCAGAACTGCCTGAAGGAAAGCAATGTGGTGGTAAGCTAAGAAATATAGGCTGGCTCCATCAGAATGCAAGTGCTGCCCCAGCACTCACATAGTGCTGGTACAGAGCAGCTTAGAAAGTATCTGTGTAACTGAAAGATCAAAATCATGAGCCCTATAAAGAGACAGTTCTTCAGTTTTAATTAGTGATCTGGCATAGCATATGTCACTGTAAACTTCCTGTAAAAATTAAAAATTGGAACTTATAAAGCTCAAACTATGTCAAATTTACCAGCATGAATTTTTGTAAGGCATTGTTCCCTTTGTTTATAAATATAACAGCACCTTTTTTTTTGGGGGGGGCGTTGGTCATGGGGCTTGAACTCTGGGCTTGGGTGCTGCTGTCCCTGCACTCTTCAGCTCAAAGCAAGCACTCTACC